TGTAGACTGTTTTATCTCTTGGTTATGGACTGCATTTTCCTCTTGGTCTTGTGTCTGGTAATCTGTGAATGAATGCTGTACCTCGTGAATGTCTTTGAATGCTGTGTGCTTTTTCTTTCCTTTACAGAGTGCTGGGCTTTGCTCTGGCTGGCAGCTACTATCTGTGAATCAGCTTGATCCTCTCAGTGCTGCTATGGTTGTTTTTAAGTTTTGTCAGGACAGAGCCTTTACTCTAGGGCAAGTTTAGCACCACTATTTAGATGTGACTTTTCTGGGGTCTGTGCCAAAAGCTTCTGATATTCATTGAGGTTTCCCTACTCTGGTTGTTTGGAACTCAGGTGTCTCCCAACCTTTGAAGCTCTGGGATTGCTCCCTGGTTGCTCTTTGCCTGATCTCAGGGAGTTCTGAGCTCTGCATGAATGGCTCAGCATGCAGCAGCATATCAAGGGAGCCCTGTGGAGCTTTTTCCTGTATAGTTCCCTCTTCTTCTGTATTCTGCCCTACGAATTCCAGCTGCCTCAGCCTCCTTCAACTCTGATTTCCATCTCTTCAGCTCAGTGGACCCACCATGCTGTCTAGGACCCAGTGTCTGGGCTGCAGCCGGGGGCAATTGTAGGCTCATCTCCCATTAACTTCCCTTCCTCAGGGACCCCATTTCCTCGCTGTCAGTGACCCAGTGTGTGCAAACAGTTATTTTGTATGTTTGTCCCGTTTTCTGTGTATCTAAAGTGAGAGGATAAGCCAGATTCACCATGGCCCAAAGTGAAGTCTCACTCCTTGTTTTAGAGGATTCTGCTTCTCTTCCAGTCAATCCCTCACTTCCCCCTGACTACTCAAGATCTTTCCCCAACTCTGAGACTGAGTTTGCATCTTTTCACCCTGGGAAATGCTCCAGCCGAATTCCCACCCAACCCGAGACATCCCTATGCCTAGGGACTGGCGTGTAGCCAGCATCCTCACAGGAGGAACTCTGGCAGGGGTCCTGGAGAGGCGTGAGGAACCTCAGCCCAGCTTCTCTGGGGCCCTGGGCTTCATGAGAAACATCTCCAACCCCACCTTCCACCCAAGCCCAGTGGTGTCCTGTCTACACAGACCCCATGGGGAATATGTCAAGTCCCAATCAAGGGGCCCAAGTGTGGGGTAATTTAGATATCTAGAGGCAAAACTCAGAATTTTGTGGGTGAGAGCAGCCAAAAGAGGTGCATGGACTTGGAATCCAGTCACTGCTGGTGAGTTCTAGTGACTGAGTGAATAGGGGGCATTTTTAAGGAGAAATGGAAGATGTATTGAGTCCAAAGCCACTCTATGAGCGGCTAAAGCAGGTGTTTAGTTATGATCCTTAAAAGTTCTCCAAGTTAAATATATTGAATTAAGATTTATCTGTAGGAAAAAAAAAATGTGGGGGGCGGGGACGTGCAGGAGTCTAACAAGTTATGTGATTGCCCGACTTGGTGGTAATGAACTATAGATCAGGTCAGCCCCAGATAAGGGGCCAGCCAAGGGGTGAGGGACGCTGGCTCTGCCTTTTGTCCCAGGCCCTGGGAGGTAGACAGCCTGGGCCTGGTGACTCTCTCCAGTTATTCACAGGGGTAGATATCACCTCAGGATGTTTTTGTCTCTTGAGTCACTATCCTTTGTATTATTGCTATTTAAATTAGAAATTGAAATAATATTTTTTATCAAATGAAAGACTTGGTGACTCTCTCCAGTTATTCACAGGGGTAGATATCACCTCAGGATGTTTTTGTCTCTTGATTCACTATCCTTTGTATTATTGCTATTTAAATTAGAAATTGAAATAATATTTTTTATCAAATGAAAGACTAATAAGAAAGTTTCTTCTTTTGTGAAACAAGCCTTCATGAGATGAGGCCACAATGGTCGCCAGTGGAGTGGGTGACTGCATTGCATCTCCTGGTGGGGCGCCCCACGCACCTCCCAGCAAATTCCTGTCTGACCACAGCGTGGGCTCGACCAGGCGTGGCCGTCTCCTCTCGGCTCACATGAAGGGGAGCAGCACTGTATCCCAATGAAGAGTCTTCCGCAGAATTCTACTGCTCTGGAGTTATTCTTAGCTCTGGTCCCATGTGCTGCAAGCCACACGCTGAGCTGTGCTGCTGAGAACCACGTGCACCTGCGTGACGGACGTTCTCATTCAGCCCATGACTATGATTTCAACGCAGCAGGCTCTCTGGTGTCCACCCTATACAAACTGCCCCAGCAGAGGGTTCCTGGGCAGCAAGCTCTCTGACACCTTTGCACGAAATCCTTTGTGATTTTAAAATCACTGGAATAGAGTCAGTACTTCCTCCTGGGGCTCCAACACATTGTCATTCCAAACATAATTTTAAAAGATATCTTAAAAGATCCAGAAACCATGACAGTGTCTTTCTGTTCTGGTTGATCCATTTAGCCCCACGTGTTCACAATAATCATAACGTGCTTGCTCTCTGCTATTATTGCCAATCCATTTAGATACCTTAAAGAAGGAGTCCTATTACTTTGACCTTAGAGGGTTCCAGAGAGGTGGGAAACGTTTCTGCTGACACAGGGCGTAAACAACAGAGACCTGACTTTCAACCTCCGGGTGTGTTCCTGCCACACCAGGGACGTGAGCAGGGCATGTGGGAGGATTTGAGACAATACACGGATAGAAATTTCTGATTTTGAAGGTAGGAGGGCATTTGAACATGTTCTGGAAGAACATGGCTGTAGAAGATACTATTCATGACTTGATAGGGATTGTGCAGAAGGAGGAGAATTTACAAAGGCATAGCAACAACAACAAAACTGTGGAGTGAGTGACAGTACAGGAGGGATAGAGGGAAACCCCGTCTGGACCCCAGGGAGCCATGCACCCCTGGGCACAGGGAAGCACACAGGATCCTGACGGACAGAAGAGTACTGTGTATGAAGAAGAAAAATGTGGCTGCGTGGTACAGCCAAGAAACACTGATAAAGACACATGCAAGCCAGTGTTGTTGTGAGTCACGGGCGTTTATTGGTCAGTTTGCTGGAGAATCTCGAGGTCACTGCACTGATGAGGACAGAGACACTGTGGATTGGGGCTGAGCTGACTCTCATCGGGGGTGAGAGATATGGAGAGAAGGTGACTGCTACGGTACTCTCCTGGAAGCCCCCCAGACAGTGGATATTTAGTTCTTCCATGTCGTCCAGTTCAACAGACTGTTCCAGCACACACCAGGAAGTGGTCTAAGTGCCGGAGCAATTCATGGCTTGGACCTCAGCTTCCAGGTGGGACCTGAGCCTGGCTGGCTTTAGGGGGACATGCCCAGTCAGCAACAGGACTTCTGGGCCGAGGCAGGGACACAGCAAGCCCGGCGGGAGCACGCAGGGCGGCAGAGCAGGGACACGCAGGAGGCCGGGCGGCAGCAGCTGGGCTGGCAGGACGAGGTGGGGGCACAGCGGGAGGGGACGGGCACGCAGCAGGCAGTCCTGCACACAGGGCGGCAGAGAAAGGACACACAGGAGGAGGGTCTGCAGCAGGAGGAGGGGCGGGGGCTGGGCTGGCAACACAAGGGGGCTGGGCAGGGGGCGGCCCCGGAGCAGATGGGTATGCGGCACACAGGCTTGCAGCAGACAGGCACAGAGCAGGCCTGCTGGCAGGGGGAGGACGTGCAGCAGGAGGACTCGCAGCTAGACTGCTGGCAGCATGAAGAGGAGGCCCCAGAGCAGACAGGCACACAGCACACAGGCTTGCAGCAGACAGGCTTATAGCAGATGGGCACAGAGCAGATAGGCACGGAGCAGGCCTGCTGGCAGGGGGAGGAGGTGCAGCAGGAGGGCTCACAGCTAGACTGCTGGCAGCATGAAGAGGAGGCCCCCGAGCAGACAGGCACACAGCACACAGGCTTGCAGCAGACAGGCACAGAGCAGGCCTGCTGGCAGGGGGAGGAGGTGCAGCAGGAGGGCTCACAGCTAGACTGCTGGCAGCATGAAGAGGAGGCCCCAGAGCAGATGGGCACACAGCACACAGGCTTGCAGCAGATGGGCACACAGCAGGTCTGTTGGCAGGAGGAGGAGGTGCAGCAGGAGGGCTCGCAGCTAGACTGCTGACAGCACGAGGAAGAAGTCTCTGAGCAGACGGGCACACAGCACACAGGCTTGCAGCAGATGGTCTTATAGCACACGGGCACGCAGCAGTCCTGCTGGCAGGGGGAGGAGGTGCAGCAAGCTGGCTCGCAGCTAGACTGCTGGCAGCACGAGGGTGTGCAGGAGCTGGTGCAGACTGACTGGCAGGAGCTGGGCACACAGCTCACTGGGGTGTAGATGAGGGTCAGGCAGGGGGCTGAGGTGCAGCCGCTGGGGGAACAGCAGGGGGGCTCACAGCAGCTCTCTGGGCAGTCGTCCACCTGCCAGGAGGAGTCAGAGCAAGAATCACAGGAACCGGGCAGGCAGACCCGGCTGCCGTAGCTCAGGTTGCTGGAGCAGACGGACGTGGTGGATGCGGCCATGCTGGGTGTTGAGCTGGGGAGGGGTGAGTGAGTGGGTGAGTGAGTGAGTGGGTGAGGTGCTGAGGGTAGTCTGGCTGGGTTTTTATACCCCTCTCCGGCTTGTGTTGTCCTAGCAGGAGGCTCACAGCTCCCTCCCCTTCCTCGTTGGTGTTTGGAGCCAGTTCCTGGAGAGTAAACAGTAGCGGTGTTTTATTTTCCCAAGAGTTGTTGCTCAGCTTCCAAACGTCTTGAAATTGGCTTGGGATGTATTTACTTGTTGTTCTTCTCAGAGAGAAAGCTGGGGCGGGGTGCTGGTTAGGGTGGTTTTCTGGCCAGGCCGTCTGGAGGTGGGCGCGCAGGGGTGTCTGCAGGCGCTGCTGTGGCCCCCAGGCCCCTGGGCTGCTGAGTGGCATCTTGTGTCTCTGTGGTTGGAAGGTCAGAGAAAGAGGTGTGTTTGGGTCTAAGTAAAGAGAAGAGGAGTCATGGTTTTTATGCAGTAAAGTATTAGTTTCCTTGGGCTGCCGCAACAAGTACAACAGGCAGCTAAAGGACAGACATCCTCTGTCTCACAGTCTGAAGGTCGGGAGTCCAAGATCAAGGAGGCGGCAGGGCTGGTTCCTTCTGAGGCTGTGAGGGAGGATCTGCTCAGGCCTCTGGTGGTTGCTGGTGATCTGTGGTGTTCCTTGGCTTGCAGAAGCAGCACCCTGATCTCTGCCTTTATCTTCATGTGCAGTTCTCCCTGCGTCTTGCCCAAATTTCCCCTTTCTATAAGGACACCAGTCATATTCGGTTAGGGCCCATGACAACCTCATGTTAACTTGCTCATCTACAAAGACCCTATTTCCAAATTGGGTCACGTTCACAGATACGAGGGGCAAGGACTGCAGCATCTTTTGGGGGACACAATTCAACCTAGACAAGTCCAAGCAGGCCCCATCTCAGGTGGAAGGCAGCTGGCGGGCAGGTGAGGAGTTGGGGGGCAGGCCACATGGCCACGAGGGCCTCAGCAGCACGTGCTTGTCTCAGCATGGCCTGAGCTCGTGGACGGCTTTTGACACATGTATTTTACAGAATGGTTGTGAAAGGATCACAGCAAGTTCACCTGTGACCTTCCCCGGCTTCCTCCAGGGTCAATGTCTCACATAGCCATAGGTCACTTGCCACATGGTAGAAGTTAGCACTGGCAGCTCACCATTCACCAGCTCCCATGAAAGTCCTCCTGTGGGGGACCCCACACCGCACCCTCCTCCGTGTCCTCCAGGCTGTGACAGCTGTTCAGTCTTTCCTGGCCTCCGTGACCTCCACTCCTGTGAAGAGCGCTGGTGCGGTGTTTTGGGGAAGGCCCCTCCATCTGGGCCTGTCAGATTCTTTTTCATGATTAGACAGGGGTTGTCGTCTTTGGGGGAAGGATCCCACAGAAGCAGTAGGTCCAGGACAGTGGGGCACGTTGTTGTGTCTTATCTCTGGCAATGTGGCTAGTTTTCACTTTTGCGGGAGATCATTTGAGACTTTGAAAATATCCTGTGTCTGTGCTGGCATTTTCCCAGTGGTTTCAGCACATGCATGGGGTCTGGTCTGCGGCAGTTTTCACTGCGGTTTCCCTCAGGGATGTTGTACTTCCCAATTCCATCTGCACTCATCTGCCGACACTCTTCTGTAAGGAGCTGTTGTCCTTTCTCCACCTTATTTGCTTGTTCCTTTATTTATTTCAGTGAGGACTAAAATTGTTTATTTTATTGTTTGCCTTATCATCCAGTATTATCATTATTTATTCTGTTCAAATTATTCCAACTTTGGATGAGGGTCAGGCAGGGGGCTGAGGTGCAGCCGCTGGGGGAACAGCAGGGGGGCTCACAGCAGCTCTCTGGGCAGTCGTCCACCTGCCAGGAGGAGTCAGAGCAAGAATCACAGGAACCAGGCAGGCAGACCCGGCTGCCGTAGCTCAGGTTGCTGGAGCAGACGGACGTGGTGGATGCGGCCATGCTGGGTGTTGAGCTGGGGAGGGGTGAGTGAGTGGGTGAGTGAGTGAGTGGGTGAGGTGCTGAGGGTAGTCTGGCTGGGTTTTTATACCCCTCTCCGGCTTGTGTTGTCCTAGCAGGAGGCTCACAGCTCCCTCCCCTTCCTCGTTGGTGTTTGGAGCCAGTTCCTGGAGAGTAAACAGTAGCGGTGTTTTATTTTCCCAAGAGTTGTTGCTCAGCTTCCAAACGTCTTGAAATTGGCTTGGGATGTATTTACTTGTTGTTCTTCTCAGAGAGAAAGCTGGGGCGGGGTGCTGGTTAGGGTGGTTTTCTGGCCAGGCCGTCTGGAGGTGGGCGCGCAGGGGTGTCTGCAGGCGCTGCTGTGGCCCCCAGGCCCCTGGGCTGCTGAGTGGCATCTTGTGTCTCTGTGGTTGGAAGGTCAGAGAAAGAGGTGTGTTTGGGTCTAAGTAAAGAGAAGAGGAGTCATGGTTTTTATGCAGTAAAGTATTAGTTTCCTTGGGCTGCCGCAACAAGTACAACAGGCAGCTAAAGGACAGACATCCTCTGTCTCACAGTCTGAAGGTCGGGAGTCCAAGATCAAGGAGGCGGCAGGGCTGGTTCCTTCTGAGGCTGTGAGGGAGGATCTGCTCAGGCCTCTGGTGGTTGCTGGTGATCTGTGGTGTTCCTTGGCTTGCAGAAGCAGCACCCTGATCTCTGCCTTTATCTTCATGTGCAGTTCTCCCTGCGTCTTGCCCAAATTTCCCCTTTCTATAAGGACACCAGTCATATTCGGTTAGGGCCCATGACAACCTCATGTTAACTTGCTCATCTACAAAGACCCTATTTCCAAATTGGGTCACGTTCACAGATACGAGGGGCAAGGACTGCAGCATCTTTTGGGGGACACAATTCAACCTAGACAAGTCCAAGCAGGCCCCATCTCAGGTGGAAGGCAGCTGGCGGGCAGGTGAGGAGTTGGGGGGCAGGCCACATGGCCACGAGGGCCTCAGCAGCACGTGCTTGTCTCAGCATGGCCTGAGCTCGTGGACGGCTTTTGACACATGTATTTTACAGAATGGTTGTGAAAGGATCACAGCAAGTTCACCTGTGACCTTCCCCGGCTTCCTCCAGGGTCAATGTCTCACATAGCCATAGGTCACTTGCCACATGGTAGAAGTTAGCACTGGCAGCTCACCATTCACCAGCTCCCATGAAAGTCCTCCTGTGGGGGACCCCACACCGCACCCTCCTCCGTGTCCTCCAGGCTGTGACAGCTGTTCAGTCTTTCCTGGCCTCCGTGACCTCCACTCCTGTGAAGAGCGCTGGTGCGGTGTTTTGGGGAAGGCCCCTCCATCTGGGCCTGTCAGATTCTTTTTCATGATTAGACAGGGGTTGTCGTCTTTGGGGGAAGGATCCCACAGAAGCAGTACCCTGAATTGCCTTTCAGTGACCACAGTGTGAGTCACCAGGTGCTTACACTGTGCTGGTGCTCCAGGCACCTGTCTTCCTGAGTGCTGTGGACAAAATGTGTCCTACAAAAGTCCATGTATTGGAAACTTAATCTCCACTGTAACAACACTAAGAGGATGGGAAATCCAGCTACGGGATTTGCAAGGTGGGGCCTTGAAGAGGTGATTGGATTGTGAGGACTGTGCCCTCCACTCATGGAATAACGGTGTGGCTCTGATGGCTTTTAAAAGAAGGCGAGTGAGCAGGTTAACTCTCTTGCTCCTTGCTCAGGCCATTCTTGCTATGTGACACCCTATGTCACTGTAGAGCCACCACCAAGAAGAAGGCCCTCACTAGATGTGTTCCCTAAAGGTTGCACTTGCCAGTTTCAAAAACTGTAAGAAATGAATTCCATTTCTTTATAAATTTCCCAGTTTGGGGTATTCTAAGTGACAGAAATGGACTAAAGCACTGTGGCTGGGATGCAGCAAGGCCAGCATGTCAGGAACGTTAAGTGGGATTTGTTTCACTCTTGGCTTCAATTCTTAATTTGTCTCACAAGGTCATTTGTTCACCTGGTTCAAAAGTCAGAATAATGTGGAANCCACTCCTGTGAAGAGCGCTGGTGCGGTGTTTTGGGGAAGGCCCCTCCATCTGGGCCTGTCAGATTCTTTTTCATGATTAGACAGGCGTTGTCGTCTTTGGGGGAAGGATCCCACAGAAGCAGTAGGTCCAGGACAGTGGGGCACGTTATTGTGTCTTATCTCTGGCAATGTGGCTAGTTTTCACTTTTGCGGGAGATCATTTGAGACTTTGAAAATATCCTGTGTCTGTGCTGGCATTTTCCCAGTGGTTTCGGCACATGCGTGGGGTCTGGTCTGTGGCAGTTTTCACTGCGGTTTCCCTCAGGGATGTTGTACTTCCCAATTCCATCTGCACTCATCTGCCGACACTCTTCTGTAAGGAGCTGTTGTCCTTTCTCCACCTTATTTGCTTGTTCCTTTATTTATTTCAGTGAGGACTAAAATTGTTTATTTTATTGTTTGCCTTATCATCCAGTATTATCATTATTTATTCTGTTCAAATTATTCCAACTTTGACCAATTTTGGTTCTTCTACCTTTTTGACACACCTCCACTCCCTGACTTCTTACTTTCTGGTCCAAGCTCATCTCGTGTTGTCCCCACTTTATCCCTGGAATCAGCCACTTCTCCATGGAGCCCTGGCTCCTTTTAGTGGGTGATGGTGTTTAGAAACCAAGAACCAGAGTGAGGTGTGCTCAAGTGCTCAGGCTCCTGGGGCATCTCTTCTCCTGGGCTTCATCTCAGGAAGAAACTCAATGTTCCCTGTCAAGGATCACGTTGGCTCCAGTTTTTCTAGATTAGCTCTACCTGGTTTAAAAAGTTCCCTTCTATTTCTGAGAGATTTTTATCACACATGGATGTTGTTTGTTGTGGAATACTTTTTATGCAACTGTTCAGATGATCACATAGTCCTTTTTCAGTCTGCTAATATGGTGAATTACATTATTTTTAAAGTTTTTTATTTTGAAATAATTGTAGGTTCACAGGAAATTGCAAAGATACTATAGAGAGGTCCTGTGTACCTGCATTA